TCCCTAGGCCCCCCCTAATATTTTAAATCAACTTTCAATTACGGGCCCGAAACCGCAAAATCCCGGGGGCCGGCAGTTTTATTATTAGGGGGGGTTTAGTAAACGCGGGAAGCGATTAGTCCGCGATGCAATGGCGCAAGGACTGGCAGTTAAGTGTGAAGCGGTTCAGCATGATAAGCTCTCCGTCGTCCCGTAGGTCACACTTCTTTCAATCCTCCACACGCCCAATAGACTGAGCTAGCCAGAATTCGAACCATTCCAAGACCGTGGGATTTTTTATTCGATCCGTTTTGTTGTGGGCATAAGGAACAAGCGCCTCGAAGTGAACGACCTCCGTCAACATACACACCGTGCCACACACGCTGGGAAGAGTTGTTGCGCCTCCAGATCGATGGAGTCGCCCCTAAACCCTAAACCCTAAACCCTAAACCCTAAACCCTAAACCCTTTGTCCGCATCAAACGTATGAGGGTCTCAATGTCCTTGCAAGTGAAACAGATCGACAGGACAGCCCTAGGGTTTAGGGTTTAGGGTTTAGGGTTTAGGGTTTAGGGTTTAGTTTTAGGGTTTAGGGTTTAGGGTTTAGGGTTTAGGGTTTAGGGTTTAGGGGTTTAGGGAATCCTGCCATGTCTGGAGCCGCTTGACCATGCTTCGTACCAAAGCCTGCCAACCCACAAGCAATTTCTCGAAACTGCCCGAATAGAGTTGTCGAAAAAAACTGAGGATGCACACCCAAGCAAGTTCTCCACCTTGTGCAGTCAAATACTCCTTAACGATTTTTTTGGATGGCATCGACGCATGTGCCAATCGGACCATGTCGCTGGAACTCTGTAGCATGCCATCATGTGCTCCGGGAAGGTTCATGTTTTGGCCAGAAAGGCAACTGGCGAGTCATGCGGTGTCCTCCTCCAAGGTCAGAGATGAACCGAGCTCAAATCATTGATCATCTTGAGGCACTCGGACCGACTATTCTCTTTGAAGTAGGCAAGGCGCCATTCATACAAGTATAAAGTCGACATGACGGGGTGTGAAAGGTTTTGACATTTGTACACACCTTGCTCCTGCGCAATCCTCGCGTCATCATCTGTGAAAGATGCCTCCTTTCGACTACGTGCTACTGCGTTTCTGTTGTTCGCAACATTTCCGGCGATCAGAGCTTTCTTCAATAGTCGGTGTGTTCACGTAGTTGAGCACCTGTATGTTCATGCCGGCTCCGACACGCCAATTGCACGTGAAACCGTATAGTTCAAACGGCAATTCAGCTCCTCGTCCAGGACGTATCGCTTCCAAAGATCTGCCATAAAACGAGCCTGACTGTTCATTTCCTGCACCTGTATGCGGCAGATCACTGCTTCCATCCAGATCGTTCCGTCGTTCAAACTCATACCGATGACGTTTAACGACTAGGAAACGGGGAAAAACCACTACACACGCAACACACAGCTCACCACAGCGTCCCTTTCTGTAGTCTTGGTATCAGTATTAGTATCAGTAAGTATTATTTAATATTTGTTTTAGCATTAACAGAGTATTAGAATGAATCTTAGTAGTCGTACCAGTATTCGTATTACGTAGTATTAGAAGTTGTAGTAGAATTCCAAAAGTGGAAGCAGCAAATTTCTAATTGTAGAGTTTTGGGATGTGGCT